TTAAAAACTGAGCTTAAATAAATGATTAGCGGTAATAAAAGCCGAGGGAGGTCAACAGTGATCACTGACTGTTTTAGGAGCTTTTTGAGATTAAATAGAAGAAAATACAAAACATTAAACATGTTAACAACACAAAAGCATATTAAACGCAGACTACTTTAGGAAGTAGGATTCGTCACGTCATCACTTAACAACCGGATAGTAAACATCCAATGTTTGGTCCCCACAAAGATATGTAAACACGCGCACATACACATCCAAAGGCTTTTGCATACACGCTTTATTCATTTGACTTGTTGAACTCCTGTCATAGGCAAGTATGTATAAATAATAATAGCCTGATTTCCATGAAAAAAAAAACCTACTGGGTTTCTTATTTTCCCAGACTTTCCCTCCTGGGAGTTTTATAAATACTTCAGCGATTATTAATGAGTCTGAAATGAGATTTTTTTTCTTCCCTTGTGCCATTTCTCTTCCCCTCTCTTTCCTCCCAGTGCTCAGGCCCGTGCCCTCTTCATCTTTGTGATCCTATAGTTGGAGACAGTTGGTGGGAAAATGTTTGCCTAGAGTGCTTTAAGTCCCAGACAGGATTTACTAATAAAACAAGATCATATGTGAAAGCTTGCACTCTGTTAACAGTGTTTGATGGCTGACTGTATAAGCCAACAGAGGTGGAAGTGCAACAGTCACATTAAGCAGACTCTGAGCTAATACACGGACTCACTGCTGGTGACAAACTGAAGCAAGTTCACGAGCCGTGCTAACAGGAGAGTAAAGATTCTTTATGTTGCACAGAGTGAGTGAACGTAGCATCCGTAGCATGTGTGGATGAAACAGGAGATTTCAGAGTCCCTTGGTACTGGATTTAGGAGTAAGGAGTGAGGATAGCAGGATGTTTTTATCTGTTCATCTTTCTGAGCTTTAATTACACGAAATTGCTTCCAAATGTTGTCAGCCAGACATGTTCAGGATTTTCTCTCCCGTCCAACCCAGTGCTCATGCTTTCATGTGTCTACTAAACATACATGTATAACACACCGATGACATCACGCTCTGACACACATGTTGGACTCTCGGCTGAATGCTTGAGGCTATTTTTTTGTTTCCAAATTCGACAAACAAAACCCTGAACACATGGCTCACACACACACACACACACACACACACACAGGAGAGCTCTATTCACCGGTACTCTTTCCAGCTAAGCTGTGATTGCTGCTCCAGTCTTGGCTAAACGCTGCAGCTCGTGCAGATGTTGTGTTTTCCATCATGTACACAGACAAGCAGACACATTCTTGTGCGTTAATGTGTGTCAGAGACAGACAACAGTGGGGCATTGCTTGAGAAAGAATGTGCATGCATATATATTTAATTTAGCACACACGAATACGCTGATGAACTTGGCCGCTGCGTTTGGCTATGCAGTGTTGTTCGATGACTTGAGCGTGAGAGAGTCGATTTAGTTTTGATGCAGGGACAAAATGAAACACAGGAGGCTGGAAGACTTTTATTTTTTATTTGGATTTTCTTCCTTTTGTTTCTTTTTTAATGTCAATTTAAACAGTTTGGTTTTAACGGGT